CAGCTGATGTTGGTAGTGGTCCATTTCTTAAGGATCCCCAGCTCCTGTCCTAAGGCAGCTGCTCATCTTCAATTCGGTCGCTTAGCGGGTGATGGCTCTATTTTGCAGTACTGCCTAAAGTACTCGCAGGTTGTTCCCGCATTGAGACTGGCCTATTTGGATGATTTTATTGTATCGATGGCAGATCCCGACCGGTTGAAAGAATCGTCCTGTTTGGTACGCCAAATTTTTGCGACACTCGGCATTGCCTTCAAACAGAAAGCCTTGCCTTCAGAAAGCAAGTGTTAATGGAAGCCGGTGCAATGCAAAAACCACCTAGGGATACTGATCGGCACCAATCGGCGCTAATTTCAGGTGTCTATGGAAAAATCTGTTGCCATCGCTGAGCGGGCCAAGCAGATTAGTGAAATGGGTGTGATTGTCGCCCGGGATTTGGCCAGATTCTGTTGCTTGGCCACCTCATTGTATTTGGCTTTCCCTTTGCCTCGTTTTTTCTTGATGCATTTATACTCCCTTTTGAATGGAAAGCGCTCTTAGCAGGTCCGTTTACAATTGACGCCCAAGGCTCGACTGGAATTTGCGGCGTGGGCCCACATTGGTAGATTGGCAGGCAGGTCATTGAACCCCGTTTCTATGGAGGTTGTGGGCACATTCGCTATTGATGCGATTCTGATTGGTTGGAGGGCCACGTTTACATCAGCTGGGGGTGATCAACCCCTTTCTGCCAGAGGATTTTTGATTTGGAGCTTACTCACATCAATGTCCATGAAATGCAAGCCATATACTTGGCTCTGCTCTCCTTCATTCCTCGCCAGTGCCACTGGACAGCTTCCCGACGCCTGTGCTTATTGGTGGATAATTAGTTAGTCCTTCATTGCATCAACTCGATGACTACCAAACTGGCCGGTCTTTTGAGGCCCCTTCATTAATTACAAGCTACTTGTGTGACCCGGAAGCTGCTGCTGGAGCTGGAGTATATTCGCTTCGCCGACAATATACTACTGGGCAAGCTTTCATGTATACAGACTTCAGAGGACTAACGGGTGGATCCTCACATATTCTAGGAAGTCGTCAGCTGCTTCGGGGCTTGTTCCGTAGAACGTTTTGCGTTTGCCAGGAATGCCCTTTGCGAGGCCTACAACAGTTAGCATTGGGATGTGGGTACGTCCGGCATCGACGCCTTCGCACAGAATTGGACGGGGACCCACAGCTAGTGCAATCCCCCATGGTGCCTCCTCGCGAGGCTTGCCTCGAGGCCGATGCTGGATGCAAATACCCGAGGTCCCCATACTTAACAATTTGCCCGTTTACTCTCTCTGGGTACTGGAGGCATCTCCGGGGCAGAAAATGTGCCCAAACCGGGCGTGGTGGTTGTAGGCGGTGATGCTCATCCATCTGAACAATCGAAAGTCCTATTCGGTGGGTAACAAAAAAATGCCAACTTACAACCACATGGCCTCCGACTCCCACCCACCCAAATCCCGAATGCACCCTTCTGCGACCTCCAAAGTAAAGCAACTTGAAGCACCCCCGCCGCGCAGGCCGTCGTGCGTATAAGGTTCTCGGGCGATGGTCGGGTGGCAAGCCAGCAAGGAAGAAAACCAAGCGGCCACCATCTTGGATCCGGGGGAAGCTTCGCCTGGTAGCCAATAGAAATGGCAAGGCGCTTGGTCTGTTTGCGCCCAGGCACGGTCCTGATAGGCCATCCAACGAAGGATGAGTTCAATGACCTCCAGGGTGCCTTGGGATGGCCATGAATGTAACAGGACCGGAGGGCCTCGTCCTTGTGCAGCTTGGACTCACGCTCGCAAAACAAAATGGCCTTGTCATCAACCCGGAGGTCCTCCGTCAAAACGAAGTGGCCTGATTGCACCCGATTGAAGAAAATGTAGTCAATGTACACCATGTACGCCGCCCGAAGGAGGGCCCCATCCTCCATGGACAAGCCCACATCGAGGATGCAAATCATCACCTCGATTGGCACTGGGCGGTGATGTTGCACCCGGGCCGGCGTCGTGCGTTGCTAGGCATGGGTGAGGACACGGGTCACCGAGAGAAATGCAGAAAAGCCAAGGTGCCTGGACAAGTGGTGCACCATGGAGATGGCCGCCAAATACTGTGGCAACGAACGGACTCCCACCTTGTTCTCCTCGTGTAGGAGCCAAATGTAGTGGTAGATCATGGCGTGGCATGCAGGAAGTGGCGCCGAGGAGTGCTCCTCACAGAATGATTGAAACCAAAGAAATTTTGCATGCATCGTCTGCTGAGTGGCCTCCGTGTTTGAAGCCACAAATTGTTGCGCCATCCAACTGCGGTCGTTCTACAGCAGACTGCCAAACTCAGTGCCGTAGAGAGGATGGTCCTCGGGGACAGGGTCCAAGGGGAATGGTCCAATGGAGGCTCCCAAACGGGGGAAGCCGGAGCTTCCGGCTCACTCAAGGTGTCGTCCAAAGCATTCTCCGCACCCCCGCTGGTCGTGTCCGTGGGGCCACATGGAAGGCTCACAAATTCCAGTGCGGCAGAGGCAGGGAAGCCGGTTGGCTCGGATCCCCGGAAGAAAAATGTCGGGTTGGTGGGGGATGAAGATCTCTGCCCGTGCCATCGCCCAGAGCTTGGGAAACCAAACTGCACTCGGCCTGTCCGGCACCAGCATCACTGGAGTTCATGGTGACGGACACCTTTGTTATCATGTCTTGTCGTGTGGGAAACATGACCGGGAGGGTTCAGGAGACTGCTCAGGTGGAAAAGCAGTTTTTAGGCTACTTCAAGGCAGCCCTGCACCTGATGACTTGCATGCGTGACACACATATGGGGCGCTGATGTTGAGGGTGTGATGATGGTTATGGGGCCATCCAACGGACGCAATTTGCTGAAAAATGTGTCTGCCAGCACAACTGCAGCAAATTGAAGAAAGTTGCCCTGGCTCAGGAATGGCGCTCGCTCGCTGTCAAGGGCAGCATCGCATTCATTACTTTTGGGAATCCTTCTGTAGCCCACCCTTTGCGAATAGGATGGCCAACGTCCCTGGCTCCTCGCAGAGCTGAAGATCAAGAATGGTATCCTTTTGCCTGTATCCGGCCGGCAACGTATTTGATGACGGGGATCCCGTTCCGTTTTCGCCAGCCCAGCCCACAGCTCACAAAATTCAATCCATGGCTTGTCCATCACCACCACGCTCTTCTGGATCGCATGCAATCTGAAGGCCTTCTCAACCAGGGGGGCCACCCAATGCCTTGAGCCCAGGCTTGATGTACTTCCGCACCTGTAGAACGCGGCCGAACGCCTACGGCCTCGGTACTGCACGCTTATGGAATAATACTCATGTGGCAAAGCCGTCTGTCTGCAAGGGATCAAATGAAGGTTGGGAACAAGCCTAGGAACGAGCCCTCCAGAACTTTAGCCCTCATGGTGGCACCGCATGACCGCGAGTTTGCATTTAAAACAACACAGCTACCCACATTTGCGATCTCAGTGAGATGCCTCTTTAACCACGCAGCTAATTAAGTGCCTCATTTCCTCTTGCACAACGTGTGGCACGTTCCTGCATTCAGCAAACCCAGAACCGGTGATTCCAGCCGGGTGACAACACTGGCTTTTGTCGCCACCAGGCACAGCGTTTCTGCAATATGAAAAATACAAGCACGTGAAGCATTCAGCTGCAACATCTGTGAAGCTTTCCGCTGCCATTAAAGAATATTCCTGAGACTATTACCATTGCCCACTTACTGTGTCCACAAGCGCCTACGATTAATGTCCCATGTGTCATAATCCGCAAGTTGTTGGACGGGACCGAAGGCCGAGCCATTAATCCTCCGACGGTGAGTTTTAAAACGTTTCCGTACTACTAAAATGATACATGCACTATTCTGCACTTTAGAATGTATTGTACTGTAAAGGAAGATGCTATGGGGATACACACACAACACATATGCACACACAGTGATGACATCAGTGTCGCTTGTTCTGAAGCCACAGACTCGTCCATTGTTGCACCGCCCATGGCGGCTTTTGAACCGTCTCCAACACAAACTATCGACCTGGGACATCCCTTGAGGAAGGCAATTTGGTGTCAATGCCAGGCACGGTCACCAAATACAACGTCACTACCAGAGTGTGTCACACGCCCCCTCTCGCCTCTTGCCAGTGGTCCCACAGTACTGCTGCCAAAATTGGGCGAAAATCAATGCAGACGGCCCCAGCACATCTGCTCCCCACAAGTACCAAATTGAAATGACCCATAATCAAGAACAAGAATACACACAGTCACCCCAAGAGGGAATGCACTGCGCTTCTAACAGCAGGAGAAACGGTTGCCTGAGCGAGGCAGCGACACCATCGATGTGGCTGTGCCGCACAGGGCTCACCCCATGCCCTCCTTGCCACTCAGTTAATCCAACCCAATCATCCGCGCACAACTCGACTGAAGCATATGCCGTCTGCCTTCTGCCGTCCTGGCTGGCTGCGCCTAAATGAAGAATGACTGGAATTTACACTAGCCAAGAATTGAATCGCCTGTTTACGCACATCAATCCCCGCCTCCTACCAGACAGCGGCCATCAGGCAAGCCCTTCCCCGGAAAAGTAGTGCAAGGCCAGAATATCACAAAACGTCCAAAGTGCCCACAAACATGGGCCTCATCAGAATCATCGCATCACGTGAACAACAAAATAGTACAAGCAAGAGCCTGCCCCATGGCAGCCCAATACCAACCTGAACCTCCTCTCATCGTATTTCTTCCCTTTGACATCTGTTGGAACATCGAATGCACCCCCACCTCATTCCTAGGTCAGCTGCTCTCGTAGCTTCAATTGCCTCATCTTTTGGTTTCCTTGACGACATACGTTGCGATGCAGTTAAACTCCCGGGGGGGTGGGAAGCCCTGGCCCCAGTGCTGTGCCCACCCAGCCCTGCCCAAAACCAGCCCACTCGCATGGAACTGAAAATTGCAGTCAACGATGCCCAACACAAGCAGCCAGTGTGGCTGAATCAGGTGGAACGGACTACATCAGTTGGTCCCCGCCAGCCATTCCCATGGCTTGAAGAAAGCTATGTGCAGACCGCAGATGCTTGTCCTCTCCTGTGCTCCTTGGCACCTCTTCAAGGACTCTGCACCATCAACACAAGCGCAAATCACACACACCCCGTGCAGCTCTCCATTCCCCAGAGCCTGCACATGAGACGTGGACCAGGCAACAGCCCCTGGCACAAACACCCCCCATGCAGCGAGCCCCTGAAACAAATCAGGTGCCGCCAACAAGCAGCAGACCCTCCACGACAAGTGCTTCGTGCCCAATGGGCACAGTGGGTCCCTCAGCCACCCTGCACGAGAGTGTTTCACACATGGGCAGCCTATACAAGTGCCTGTGGCGCAGCCCCTCTGCCCCCACATTGACACTCACTTGTCAAAGGTGGCGGCTCTGCTCATGGCCGAAAGCCCATTCACAGCCAGCAGCGTTTCCATGTTGACGCCCTGCATCAAAGCAGGTCCAGAGGTGCCATTCTTTCCGCCCTGCAGCATGTGCAGATTCTCCAGCAGGCTCTTGGCCTGCTTCAACGCCTCCTTGTCAGGCATGCCAGCAAAGGGGTCCATGGCCTGTGGCACAGGGGAGGCAGTCCCAGGGGCAGAGTACATGAGTGGCACATGGCCGCCGGCCAGGTCCGCCCCCATTGCCATCTGATGGCTGGCCCCAAGGTGGCTGGCATCCAGCGCACCCACCAGCTCGTTCATCGACCGTGCCAACACACCATTGTCGATCGACCTCCTTCCGCCTGTGAGTGTTGCTGCATGGGACCTCAGGGCAGCAAGCTGTCCGGGCGCCAGGAAGGCATTGGGTGGAAGGAGGGGCACCTGATTGTTCATCTGTACAGCATCACTCTGATCCATTGGTACACCAGCAGTGACTGCCCCCTGCATCTCGTAACCTCCTACAGCACCATTCATTGCCATTGCAGCTGAGACCACCACCGCACCGTCCTGCACCTGCCCTCCCAGACCATAGCTGCCCATTGCATCGTTGGCTGCTGGCATGGGAGCCGAGGTTGGCACCTGACTCTCATTGAGCACCTGCCCGGGAGCAGCCGGTGGCGCACTTGCCCCTGCCAACGTGCTCAGCGCCTCCATTGCGGGGCCACTCGTGGACACCTGTTCTGAGGGCTGGCTCTTGAGTGCCTGCTGAATACCATTCTGGCTGATAGCAGCCAACAGGGCCTGCATGTTTTTCACCTCTGCTTCCTGCAACCCCGGAACTGGTGTTGCATAGCCGTTGAGCAACTGCTGTGCTTGCTCACGTTGGTGCTGCTGTTGCTTTTGCACCTGCAGGCATCGCATAGCAGCTGCTGAGCTCACTGGCCACCACAAAATTTGTCCAAAATCGGCACAGTATGGCCCATTCCACACAACCAAAGACGGTTCAGAGCACTGCGATGTAGGCCAAGCAGCGATCAACTGCAAGCACGCAAGGCAGGCAATCCAAGTAGAAGAGGGTCAGATCGACTCCTATTGACATCAAAACTTAGTACTTGCAGCAGCAGAAAAGTCGACTTGTGTACGTGATGACCAGCGCCTTTTTCACAGGACAATGAGCTGTGCGGGCACAACTCACCCATCAACATGGCACAAGGGCAAGCGCAGAAGCTGTATCAACACCACAACCAAGCCCCCCCCCCCCCCAACACGCACACACCCTCTGTGACCCAGTGTCTCCTCACAGGTGAGATGGATGTGCTTCCATTTCCTTAGCTTGGGTACCCACTCTTGGTATACAGCTCCTTCTTTTTGACACGTACTGTAACAGGGAGAAAAGAAAAGGTAGGGGGGCATGCATGGAGGTGGGGGCGATGCTTGCCTGTTCCACTAAAGCCAGTTGTTGGAGGAGGGCCAGCTGAAGGCCATTGCCAGATGACTGGTCGCCAGCAGCTGCTGGGGTGGACCCCATAGATGGGTTCGCCTGCTTCATAAGCTGCAATGCACAGAGGCAAACTAAACACCAGAATACCATAGACACAGGGCACTGAGTGAGCAACGAGAGACAAGATCCAGCATCTTTTTGCCTTTGACAAGCAATAGCAGAGTGCTCCGCTAGCACAAACAACATGGAAACCCTTGATCCTATGGAAGCATAGATTCTGATGCGGTGACAGAAAGGATGGATGCTGCTCAAGGGCCAGAGAGAAAGCAAGTGTGCAAAGCACAGGTTCCCTTCTGTCAGGACAGGAGATATGTCACATACTGGCAAAAATAATCTTTGGTGATGTGGCAAAGGCGGGGCTGCCAGTCTGCAGCTGCTCACCTCAAGAGTCAGGAGATTGAGGTGGCCATTCGCAAGGCCAGCAGTGCCGGCCTGAGGATCATGCCCGTTAGCTTCCAGCAGTGCTGACAGTGCATGTGATATGTGCTGCTGTTGCAGAGACTGGACTTCTGCGGCATGACACGTAGGGACTGATCAGACTCCAAAGGAACCTACAACCTGAGGCCAGGATGTCCCAGAGGGGCAAGATTAGCGGGTGTTGCAACAGAGTGAGTGGCGATCCAAGACCACACCATTGCGCCAATAAGCTCTGTTTCACACTGAGGCATCTGGAGCATAGTGACAAAAGATGGCCGTGCCCAGAGAAACAGGGATCTGACACGCAACCTCCAGACAGGCCACCACCGCAAGTAGGGAAGTTGCATCCCTGCAAATCCGAACCACTACAGTCGGCAGGCACAGGACAGGCGAAGGCTGCAAAGGACGGGCGAAAACTGAACTGACCCGCGGCCAGCTCTGCCTGGACCTGGCACTGCGCTATCACGGGGTCGTCCTCCGGCCTTCGAAGCTCCGACTCGCTGTGGGCGAAGAAGCACACCCGGCGCTTGCAGGCGCCGCCGTCGGTGCACAGCTGCGAGAAGAGCCGGGATGCGCGTCAGCGCAGGCTGCGTGGAGGAAGGGGGGGTGGGGTGGGGGGAGCAGGGGCGGGGACAAGCCACGGGAGGGAGAGGAGAGTCAAGGGGTGGACCCACTTGCGTCCTGTAGCGAGAAGGGTGCAGCCAGCACTCGAAGACGCCGTGGGCGAAGGGGCAGGCGTCCCCCCGTCTGCAGCATCCGCTCTGCCAGGCCACACACAGGAGGATCAGCCAGGGCGGCCGGCGGGGCAGCGCACGGCGAGGGGGAACGATGGGGAGCCGATGACGCACCTTGCGGAACTCCGGGCAGGCGGTCCCGGAGTACCTGTATCGCCGGGGGTCCCTCCTGCGCGCCTTCTCCCCCGGGTGGGCGAACGGGCACTGGGTCCAGTCGTGGGGTCGGGCGCGCGGGCAGCGCTTCACCTGTGGCCACCCCGGGATCAGTCGTCGACGATCGCCCCGAACACCCTAGACGGGCCAAAGGGCCGGCGCGGGGCGCCAGGGAAGCGCAATCAGGCGGTCGCGGCCGGCACCTTGAATTCATGCATGCGGAAGTGGTCCGAGGAGAAGGCCGCCGCATCCAGGTCGAACACCACCTCCTTGCCCTGCGGCGGGCTACCCTGCCCGCCCATCGCCTGAGCCATGGACGCCATGGTTCCGGGCCCCCGCGACCCTCGCCAGGGTGAGTTTCCTGCGGGAGGATGGGAGCCAGGGGATCCGGCGCCGGTGTGGCGGCGGGGGGTGGAGAGGTGGGGGCGGGGTGGGGTGGGGGGCGCGGTGAGCTGGGCCGGGCTGGGGGGGTGGGAGGCCAACCACCACGAGGGGTGGTTTTGGGGGGCTGTGAGGGGGACCCCGAGATGGCGATCTGATACGGCCGCGGGCGTGACATCAGCACGACTCAGCGCTGGGCCCGCGTGTCCACGAATACGGAATGCGTTGCGCTGCGGAGGATGGCAGGAGGCGCCCAGCGGTGCCGAGTCGTACTGGCGAGGAAGGGCCGTGCGGCCGCCTGGCGGCGGAGCGAGGAGTGTTGTAGGTTTTCAACGCTTCCCCATAGTAGCGTAATGCTTGGCCCTTTTAGAAGAAAACCATCAAATAAATAACGCTCTTTCACTAAATTTTTGTGGAGCAACGTAAAAAATAGTAATAACGATATGAAAAACCGAATGCACAGTAAAAGCCACAATAGACAATATTCCCGATCCATAAGGGTTTTAAAACTTATGGTCTAGTGCTTGTGGTTTATATAGGTCGGCAACACCGACCATTGATTAGCGGTCTGCGTTACCATCCTATTTGTGATGCCACATAATGACCCACCATTTTACTGGGTGATCACTTATGTAATTGGCGTACGATGGGCATCTACTGTACGGGTTGTATAGTGTACAATGTACACATTGCATGGGATGGCCCAAGTATGTTGATACAAAAAAAAATAGAAAACAAAAAGAAACACTCCAAAAATGGGTTATGAGCAGATAACCACAAACCTTAGGATTGAGAACGAGGGCAGTGTAAAGTTAAGGAGACAAGGGCTGGATGTGAGATGCCACCCTGTGTTCTCACCAGATTCATATCACCATTCAGCGCCCCAGATTGATTGGATTCAATGACAATTCTAGGAGGTCCTGGGCCTCAAGGGCACAAGTTGTGTGGGTAGATTGGGATGGTTTGATCAATTATTCCCTTGTCTGAGGAAGACCATTTGGGTTGACTAACCAGATGAGGAGAGACAACTAGTCCAGTTATATACATCAAAAACGGGGTTTCATGTGGTGTGTGAGGTTACGTTTAAAGTGGGACCTTGAAATGCACTTACACACATTAGAGGTGGCCACCCGGATCCGTTAATAGCGGACAGAGGTTAATTTCCGTTAATTTTCCGTTAATTAACGGAAAATAACGAAAAAAGACAAAAATTAACCAAAAATTAACGGATTTTTGGATTTTTTGGGGATTTTGGGTTTTATTCATACTTATAGTTTATGGAATTCGCTATTAGAGAGTATGTTTGTATTTTATTTCAACCTATGCATACTAGATTTTCAACTAGCCGCAGTTGTTGTGACTTTTTGGGTTTTTTTCCGATTTTTTTGTATTTTTTTCGTTTTTTCTGAATTTTTCTCCCTTTTTCTTTAACGAAATTTAACGGACAGCTGATAAAAATTAACGAACCGGACTTAACGGACCGGATGGCATCTTTGAGTGGCCACCTCTAACACACATAGAGCTGACATGGCATGTGTATTGGCTATATGAGATCTCAAAGCCCAAACATGGTGTTGGTCCTTGTGCCATGCAAGGCAGCTTTCAGCACTCTCATTGTAAGCACTTGCACGGACTAAAAGTTATAGGTCAGGATGGTCATGACGAGTTCAGCACATGACAAGGGTGAGGGAGTGGGAGTCAAAAGTAGGTTGGCTCCCCTCAACTTGTGTGTTGATTGTGTGTTTTACACTTTACCCAAAGTTGGTTATGCAAGCCATATTGTGTTGGGACAAAGGGTTTAGCTATTGAGGATAAGTTGATAAGAGTTGGTCTAGTGGATAAAAAGAAAACGCGAGTGGGTGATGGCCATTTTAAAAAGACAAGTACACCAGATTGTGCATGGTCTTGTGGAAGGGCCAACAACTCATCCATTGGTTCTGAATGGGGAGGGCTAATTGTATGTCAGACCCTTGATAAGGATTGTTTTGTCTTTAAAGTAGTTGTGATATAACAACCTTGGTGGTGTGGGGCGCCTACTCTCTTTGAGCCATAGACCCGCCTCGATGGGCATATAGGACCCTACGGGGACCTGGGCAGGACCACCCCAGCCTACTCCCATATCGTATAATAGTATGAGGTCCGGTTCAGGTATCATTACCATATCTTGGGTAAGGCGTCCCCCACACCAGGAGACCATGGCAGGGCATCCTCCACATTAAGACTGTGCATAGCATTCTTCCTCCTCAGGGAGGTGGGACGTCCCTGCCCTAGTGTATACATATAGAAGTAAATGCATGCTGGCTAGTAAACCTATAATATATGGGAATTGGCTGTGTGTAGCAACACATACCCAGTTACTTCCATGTGTTATATCATTTAAACATACAGTAAAGAGAAAGAGTGGTTGTTGCATAGAAAACGTTCCTGCTCACAACTTTTATTAAAACTCTGACTTGAGCTTAACCACTGGAAAGTTTGTCACTAACTTATAATGTACATTTCTCTATTCTATGGCTATCTCGGCCTACGAGCTATCAAGAATGGTTTAGGACATACGGGAACTACCTTGCCCGCCCCCCCAAATGACCACCATGGCCTATGCACATACAGCCTCTACCCATCTAGGCATTCACTGGGTCTCTGCCTGTGCCTCGCCCCCGGCCTGTAGAATGCACCAATGGTCCACTGCTTTGTATCCTCTCGCCATTGATGATGGTGATGGACATAGCAGTTATATGACTGAATTGCGAGTGGGCCCGATTACCATGGTAATCGGTGTTCTTCTGTGCCCACTGCAAAAGTGCCTGTCGCAACACATGAGAATAGTTATGCTCACTATTAGTATTTGCATTTTGTATTGTGATTGTTGTGTAAACTACTAGGAGGTACCCAGATTACTCAAGTTATATACCGAAAACTGGTAATGGACATGAGATTGTACCTAAAATAGATAGAGGAGGTTGTTAGCTTTCTATAGGTCTTTGAATCATCCCAAAGGGGTTAGCGGTATAGGAGTTATAGCTTATAGAAGTTGCAGTACTTAAGGTTGGGCCTCTACCGCACTCGGGGATGAGAAACTATTAGTATGGGTATATTCGATACGTTGTTCTATCAATTGTGTACCGCTGTGTGTGTGGGTCATGTGACCAACCCCGCACGATAGCCTGTAATTCCATTCGTGCCCACTCTTGCCTCCCAGCGGCTATATCCGTAAGCCGCAAGATGCTGCGTGCAACTACTGCGCGTATGGCTGCCCCGCGCCCAGCCAATCAGCAGGTCTGGGCCCACACTGCGCATCCAAAGAGGCGAGCCCCCTGCTAAGCCAACCGGCCATCCGGCAGAGGGGGCCCTGCGGCCCCATCAGGCGCCTCGGCAGGAGCATCGCCTGCAAACCAACCGAAAACCACGCCAGTGACCAGTTTGCATATTAGCAACAGAAGCTCAACTATTCTCAAAGGGCTAAACTAGTTCATGTGCATTTGCAACTGATTTTGTTGATTCCCAATTATTATGTTCATGGCCGTAATCAAGCTACTTAATAAGGTACTCAATGGAGTCCTATCGATGGCTGCGCTTTTTTGTCCTTTTATCAAGAATGTGATGTAGCTACTTGGAGTAAAGGCTTAATTAACATTTTCTAAAGTTGCAATTAGCAATCTCTACAAAATGACCCTCTGGTAGGCTTATTCAAAGGCTCTTGATACTCTTAGGCTTTTGAAACGCCCAAATCCATTAAGAATTGGGAAAGTTATGGCTCTGCAACATTGTTGTATTTAAGGTTGTAGATAGAAGAGGGCTAGTGTGACGTGGTGACTTGGGGTTAGGCAGTTATTGACATTTTTTGGAGTGGGAATTATGTAATTGCGGGTGTTATTTAGAGCTTCTTGGTTCCAACGTACCCTTAAACGCCCAATTCCTTTGAAAAACGGCGAAGATATGGCCTCCTGAAGCTATAGTACTTAGGGCCAGGGGGTCGAGGGTTAGATGCTTGGAATTAGAGGAAATGGGTCGATCGTAGGTAAATGGTGGACGGTGATGATGTGCTTGGATGTGCACTTGACTTGTCTTGTTTTGTTGTGACCGCGATGGACCCGCGATCGGGTATCGCGCATGCGATATGTGCGCGCATACATTGAATTTGTGTAACCGTTTTGGCCCATTCTCTGGCCTCCTGCAAGCCAGCGAACCACCGCCTCGCTGCGCTGCCACCTCTCACCAACAGCAGGCCCCAGGGATCGATCCTGGTCGAGCATTAAGCCCACCGCGCGACCACCGAGTCGACTGCCCCGATTACGCCCACTGTTGTGTGAACATTGTCTTTGGTTTCTTATACGAGCGGAGTGAGATGCGACGCAAAGGCGCGCGGACCAATTATCCGGCCACATTTTCACAGCGTCTCCAGCTGTCCTCTTGGATTGATGGGCTCACGCGGTTTCTCTCTTTGTTATCCGCGGTGATGGCCACCCCTCAACAGCTCCCGCCATATGTTGCCACCGCAGTTCTTGACTCGACGGGTCAGCTCCTCGTGTTGCTTCGAGGCCGTCAGAATCAAAAGCTCCGAAACTAGTTATAAAGGGCGACGTCCCCTTTTGGCCAGTCGGGAAATGGCCCACGGAGTCCCGTTTGAGGCGGGAACTAGCCTGGTTGGTATTTGCTTCGAAACTACAATTACAAGGTTGTTCAGTGTCTTTATATTTATACCTCACCCTATTTTTGGCACACCTGGCGGTTTCCAATTCAAATCCTTTTTGTCCCTTGTCCTTCCGTTCACCGTTCCGCCAGTCCCCAAGGCTTGCCAACCTTTATTACTTCACGCCCATTACCATTTGGCCCCCAAGGACCAATCTCAATGGTGCTAAGCGTGTTTGGACAACATGGGGCGGCTTGCCCATCTACTTTACACACAGACCTAATGTTCCACCCTTACAAGTAACCTGGGAGG